AATAAAACAAAAAATATTTTAAACTTTTGTTGAAGGGTAATTTTGGTTTCCTGTTTGACTAGCCTTGGGAATTATTAGTCGTACTGTTTGGCTCACTGTTCAAGGAATTTTAGCTTACTGTTCCAGGAGAAAGATATAGGTTAACAGGCGTCCTAGTTTGTCATGGTCAGAAGAAAATCGAAATTTCGAAATACCGCATACACTAAAATATGACGCCCTCTCCAAACCGTCCACTTTGGACTGATATATCTCATTTTGTGTATGAGTTATTAAACAGTTATCAACTGGCAAAAGGTTAATTATGATATTAAAAATTTTTTGTCAGTTGACCACTTTTTGATATCTTGTACACGAATCGAGATAAATTGGCTCAAAGTTAAAAGCTAGGGGTGTCGTTTTATTAGAGTATTTACGGTATATGAAGTTCTAGAAACTTCTCACCAATCAAGGCATTGAACGAAAGTCACAAAAATCTAACACAATGATGTCAGATGTACACTAATCAGAATACTCTTCTTTTAATAATCAGTCACTGAGAGCGCTAGAGCATAATGGAAAAAGATGAAACGTCTTCAGTTTCCTTTTAGAAGCATTATTTTTGCAGTTGTTGAAATCTGAACGAAAAATAGAGGAACTCAAAGATCAGGGAACATAATATGAAATAAAAACAAATTCTTAAGTTTCTGTTGATAGAAAAAGAAGCAGAAGAGAATATGGAAGTGGAATCGGACATGAGCAATTTGGAAGGCGTGAGAGTTTGATCTTTTGGGTTTTCAATCGTCTGGAAGCCGTGGGAGAGATGGGTTTCACAAATCGCACTATATTTGAAACTAGGTCAAACTGTGGCACTTTTTGGTGTCTTCGTGAACGTGACGTCCTGTATAGTATCTTATGACGTGTGAGGTTCTCCACAAAGGCTGAAAACAAAAAAAAGACCGAGATATTGTGCTCTCCCGTTGCCAGGAGAAACGGTGGTGTTTTAATGGTGTTATCGTCTTTTTCTACTCATCCTCCCATCTTCAAAAGCATTTTTCTGCACAAGAGAAGAAAATTGAAAAGGATAAGAAAAAAGAAGAAGCTCGAAAATTGAAAAAGAAAAATGAGGTGAGCATATTTTGGTTGCATGAGGGTGGAAAATTGGCTTGATTGTCATTTATGAAAGTGCCAGACTCTGGAAAAATATAGAAATCAAGCTAATTGTGTTTTGAAATCGCTCGGAAATTGCAGGCACTCATTCTGAAGAACTTTGCAATCTCGGAAAAGAAGAAGAAGAAGAAGATTCAGAAGGCGCCAACCCCACCAACCAGAATACCTGAACCAATCTTCAATTTGCCATATCTAACCGATGCCATAATTATGGATCTACTCGCTCAGCCATCACCTGGATCTCCATTGTATCCAGTCACCGAAACACAACTCGTCCCACTAACTATTCTGAAATTGGCTCCTCATTTGAGTATTCCTGTCTTGGATGCATACCGTACTATTCGTCCTTCATAATTTTGGATATCTTTTTTTCATCCATGTTTTCTCACCAACTCGTTCATTTTTTTCTTCTTTGAATAAACGATTTCTTATTCGAATTCCATTTCTATTTTGCAAGAGGTACCATAAGAACACAATCTGGTACACCTTCCACGTGGTTGGAGAAAGTGGGCGGGGCTTGTGTAGGAAACATCTGTGGGCGCTGGTCTCGAGCGAGCCGTCATTCGTTAGCCTATACTTTCGGAAGAATGCCGAGAGCTCATGCCTCTGATGGGGTCGATGAGAAACGTTTGGAACGTCGCAAGTGAGTTTTCAAAAATGTGGTCCCTCCTAAATTGTCTTTTTTCAGATATCAAACATTTTTGCATCATGAGAAAAAATCGTATATTCAACAGATGGCGGAACTTCTTCTTCCTCCCGACATGATCAACCAAGATACTAGAATCGTTTTGAGGTAATTATAGCTTGTACAAACCAATTAGGCATTTATTTTTCCAGAGCGATCCGAGAGATATTAGAGAAGAAATTTCCCGAAAAAATCGGCAAAGAGAATGGATGCTTGTTCCGTAGAACGGTAGAATTTGATGGTGTCAGAAAATCAATCTGGGCTCCGTGTGATCCGTCGAAGAATGCACAACTATTTGAAGCCAAAAATGGAGGAGTCAAAAATTATAGAGTAAAAGTGGAAGTGAAAGAAGAACCAGATTCGGGCGATAACATATCACTGCAAAAAGTCAATCCAATGATCAAGACCGAGTTGAATCCAGAAGAACCTAACGTAGACCACATAAACCCACTAATGCAAGTTGCTCCACCGCCAGTTCAACAAGTGTATCATTTCCCCTTCCACTACGTAAGTTTCATATCATCCAAAACGTTAAAGGACATTAAATGAATTTACAGAACCCAGGAGTTCTTCACTTTTTCAATTCCATGCTACACCCTCCTCCTAACCCCACACTGATGTTTGACGCCGTCTATCCAGAGCAAAGAGACGTTTTCGGAAATATTTCTTTTCATCAAAAATTGGAATACGATCGTGTCAACGCTGAATTGGCAGCTTTGATGCCCCAACCAAGCAGGAATATGGGTAATATGTTCCATCCGCAGTTCGGCACAGTCTCGCCAAATCGATTCATGCATTGGCAACCCGTTCCTTATTATCCACCACCCAGCAATCTGAATGGCATCAATCTCTTGGTCCAACCAAATTTCCATTTCGAAGAAGAACATAACTGGACATTGATGGCAAGCCCACCGGGACCCCCACTTACAGAAGATGAAGCAGCTGGTTTCGAATTTCCGGATTTAAAACTTTAAGTCCTACGCGTGAAACCGATGCTACTTTCTAATAAGTCTACAAGTATTGAATCCGTCCCAACTTTGTATATCTTATCAAAACTTCATTTAAATACTGAACCAGTTATTCAATTAGTAGGCCAATTAAGGTTTCCGTGTAAATTTCTGCATGCTTAACATTGAATAAAGACTTTGATAACATCAGCTTTTTGAGTTCTCTTAAAGGCTTCCAAGGTCTCTTCAAGTTTGTAATGGGCACGACTCAGTCCCGAGAGATCCAGTTTTCCAGAGCTAAGAAGTTCAATGGCAGTTGGGTAACTGGAATTTTCAGAAAATATTAAATAAAGAAAGTGATCAACCTACCAATTAACATATCTGAAGATTCCTCGTATATCAACCTCTCTTGTGGCCGATTCGATAATTGGAATTTCAACTCTATCGGCTCCCAGACCAACAAGAACTATGACTCCACCTGATTTGGTAGTCTGAAAAAAGTGAGAATGTACCTTCCCTCTTTTTTTCCGTTCTACTTACAGTTATCGCCGTCTCAATACTCGGCTGCGCACCGGTACACTCGACACAGACATGTGGCTGCTGTCCACCCAACGCGCTGATGATCTCCGCTCTTACGGCCTCCAACGACTTGCCTCTGCAAAATATCAAGGTTATTTTTACAACGCTCTTCCGCAGCCTCATTGGCTCAGTGGCAGAGCGTCTGTCTAGTAAACAGAAGGTCGCTGGTTCGATTCCAGCATGAGGCACCGAAACTTTTTGGGCAAAATGCTTACTTTACATTAATCGTAGCATCTGCTCCCAGCTTCTTGGCGAGGGAAAGACGACCGTCGTCTAGGTCGGTGATAACAACTTTTCCAGCTCCCACTGATTTGGCAGTTAGCAGATTTAGAACACCGATCGGACCAGCTCCGAGGACTAAAACTCTATGACCCATTTGAACATTTCCACGACGACAGGAATGAATAGCAACCGAGAGTGGTTCTAGCAGAGCTCCATCTTCGAAAGAGAGATTATCAGGTAGCCTGAATTTTTCCTTTCGGTCATACTTGTGAAATTTCGGCCGGGCCGGGCCGAGAGAAAATTTTCAGGGCCCGGCCCG